ATGGTTGCAAACATTGATTCAAGCCTATTTGACTTAGTCTCTACTTGAGAAAGAAAGTTTAAGTCTAAGAAAACTTGGCTAACGAGAAATTGGGGTGAACTCAAGAAATTGATAGTCCTAATTAAAGGGTTGAATCTAGAGATAGTAAAACCCGACTTGAGCATATATCAACGGTTTTGCGAATTACCCACTTGGACTTGAGAAAGCCAAATTGGGCAAAATCACTCTATTACCGATAGGTATAGAGTGGGTAATTGCGTGTTGATTCCTATATTACATCCCAACCAACAAACCTGCTCTAAAGCCCACAACCCATTAGGCAAAAACCTAGGTGGAAGTCATAGCCCTAGACCTTTTACATATTTGAAAAACAACCACAACACATTATTCTATAGTTTCATATTTTACATTTGCAAACAATAGCTTAATTTAGAAGTAGACAAAAACAACAAAGTTTGTGGAAGTGCATTTTAGACACATAATATGCTTAGTCCGAGTATATACCTAATCCCATCTACGCTCCTTGTGGATTCGATCCCGACTCCTAGTTGGGTAATTATAATTGCATCGATCGCTTCACAACCCCAATTTGAGGTGTGAACTTGGGCGACATCACTGCCCCATGGCACAAATAACTTAGAGATCATGTCTATTTGTTTTATAATACTTGTAATCTGCAAATTTGATAGTCTGAAATAGCAACACTGCCCGTAAGATGCTTCTTAAACTGGGATCACATAAAAGTCGTGTCTATAGGACTTAATGATTCTAATATACCTCAATTCTGACACTACCTACTGTCTAATACAATCTGCCCGCGTGTTTTTGTTTATTATGTGTGGAGGTTAACTTGAGCCATTTATCGCCTTTATGTGTAGTTCTACATATTTTGAGTGTGCGCCTAGTTTTATCATTTTGAGCAGCCTATGTAAAGTCTAGAACCACCCAAATAGTAGGTCCAAAGCCTCTTGGATCATAGGCATGGGACGGGTAGTGCACGCATAGGACACAGTTTAGAATTGAAATAGAGCGCTTTAGATTAACAACTTTAACATAGTAATTGGGTAGCAGGGGATGATAGTCTGTGCCTGCTGAATAATATGAGCAACCTTACCCTAAGGGAGTTGCAAAGTATTATTTATGTTTCACGGGGTGATCCTTTAGGCTAAAAAACTTAGGACGCCCCCTCTATGTTTATTGTTCACGCTTTTGTTTTCTTTGAACTTAGAACAATTAGGTTGTATCTTGTAACCTCTAAGGACTTGTACTGATAATTTATAGTTTAATACCTTTACATGTGCGATATTTCTTTACATTTGTTTTACATCGTAGTTGAACCTTTAAATTCCTTGTCTTCCTTTACCTACATGGTCACATAGGACAATTATAATCCAATAATCCCACAAAGCGTAAGTTCGGTCGGACCCACAGTTGTGGACCTCGGGGACACCTTCTCTTCGAGGTAATTTGAGCCCTTACACGATCTTTGGTAACACGGACTAGTATAACTAGAGTTATTTGCAAATAGGTGCCCTAACACACCTTAAAATCGTTAGGTGGTGACTCTTCTCTTTTAATACCTATTTAAAAGAATTGTCACATGTCAAAACCTACTTTCGCGAGAAAATGGGGCACGACAATTCTATTATTGTAGATCGTATTTATCGCTCATGTATGGACTTTGATGTGACTCTTCTACTTCTTGATATGGTGGACTTTGATGTTATTTTTGGCATGGATTGGCTATCACCTTATCATGCTATTTTGGATTGTCACGCCAAGACGGTAACTTTAGCCATGCCGGGGTTGCCTTAATTAGAATGGAGAGGGACTCCTGGCCATTCTACTAGGAGGGTTATTTCTTATGTGAAGGCTCGGTATATGATCGAGAAGGGGTGTTTAGCATATTTGGCATGTATCCTTGATCCTAGTGTGAAGGTTCCTTCCATGGATTTAGTGTCAGTTGTGTGCGAGTTTCCAGAGGTGTTTCCCACAGATCTGTCGGGGATGCCACCCGACAGAGATATCAACTTCTATATTGACTTGGCTCTGGGCACTCAGCCCATTCCTATTCCACCATACCGTATGGCACCAACTGAGTTGAAGGGACTGAAGGAGCAATTGAAGGATTTGCTTGACAAGGGATTCATTTGACCTAGTGTCTCACCCTAGGGTGGACTATTGTTGTTTGTGATGAAGAAGGATCATTCGATGAGGATCTATATAGATTATCGGCAATTGAACAAAGTCACTATTGAGAACAAGTATCCTTTGTTGAGGATCAATGACTTATTTGATCATCTTTAGGGTGCCAAAGTGTTTTCAAAGATTGATTTGAGATCTGGCTACCATCAGTTGAACATTAGGGCATCGGATGTCCCTAAGACGGCTTTTTATACTCGGTATGGGTATTATGAGTTCCTAGTGATGTCATTTGGCTTGACAAATGCCCAGTAGCATTTATGGATTTGATGAACCAGGTATTCAAGCCCTATTTTGATTCTTTTATGATCATCTTCACTGGTGATATTTTGGTTTACTCCCACAGCCGAGAGGAGCATGAGCAACTTCTTCGGGTTATACTTCAGACCTTGAGGGATAGTCAATTATATGCCAAATTTACAAAGTGTGAGTTTTGGTTGGATTCAGTTGCCTTTTTGGGTCATGTGGTATCTTCCGAGGGTATTAAAGTGGATCCTAAGAAGATTGAGGCAATTCAGAACTAGCCTAGACCTACTTCAGCTACATAGATTCGAGGCTTCCTAGGTTTGGCGGGTTATTATCGCCGGTTCGTGGAGGGGTTTTCATTTATCCCAGACCCATTCACTATATTGACCCAGAAGGATGCCTCATTCAGGTAGTCTGATGAGTGTGAGTTGAGCTTTCAGAAGCTCAATACTGCTTTGACTACAGCTCCGGTATTGGTGTTGCCTACGGGTTTGGGGTCTTACACTGTGTATTGTGATGCAACACATATTGGGCTTGGCGCGGTGTTAGTGCAAGAACGTAGGGTGATTGCCTACGCGTCTCGACAACTCAAGGTTCATGAGAAGAATTACCTAGTTTATGATTTAGAGTTGAGCAATTAAACTACACTTTCTATAAACATAACCTTTTTACACAACTCTCCTAAGTCATCACTCCAAGAATATTTAAAATAGACTAAGTACAATACCGTAACATCTTTGCCTCAAAATTTGAGTCACAAACACCACACATTTTTCACAACACACGCACTTACTCTAACATAGAGGTCAGTAACATTACCTTTCCTTCGTGAATCAAGTTTCCTCACACAACAATAGAGAGTAATCCACACACAATAATATTTAAGAACAATCAGAAACTCAAAATAGAAAGAACATGCTCACTCTCAGAAACAACATTCATATTCCACAAAAGAAGTACCATAGGCTTGCCCGTAGTGTACTACTTTACTAATTGAGCTCATTCAGTCAAGCATCAACTAGGACTTTAATTGGTTGTAATGTAGGCTGTGGGACGAGTAGGATATATTTAGATATAAGAGTGACTACACCTCCCTAAGAACTTTTGATACATACAATTTACATTCAAAACCCCACACTAATGTCAAACCATGACTCCACCTTCACATCAATATACATTAACTCCCTACTTCTTTAAGAACAATTACATCAAGAGTCACCACCATCAAAGAATATTTTGCACAACAACACAACATTTTTTCCTTTTCTCTTTCAATTCAAGCGGCTCTTACTTTTTCAAAACATTGCGCACCTTTCTCCTGATTTTATTAGTTCCACTCAAAAGCAAAACCAACCACCCCACACTTAAACTATTAAAAAGATCATAACAAATTCAAGTGCTCATGAGAGGTACAAGGTTTAAATAGATGGTCAATACAAACAAATAGGTAAGGCTTGTAATGTGGTTGCCAAAGAAACAGGATTACAGGCTCAAAGGGGTTAACTAAGATACATAATAATTAGATAGGTAAAAGCATATAACTGGTTCAAAAAAAATGCCTATATAACTTCCAAGACTGAATAAACTACTATTTCGCTTTGCAAACACACGGGGCAAGTTCTAGACATCAAATTTTATGCACAGAATAACACAAAATCTCACACACACATGGCACATAACTCACTCAAGATTGAATTATCAAGACACTCTAGTCAAAGCAGTTAAGCAAATTTAAGATCATACAGCTTAAGGTACTTATGCAAGAGTCAAAAACTGAGCCTAAACGTTACAACTAAAGCACTCACTATTCTCAAGGCATAATAAAGTTAAAAGCTTCAAGTCATAGCACAAGGTTTTCTACTACTAACAAAAATAAAAACTAACTACACCCAGTTCAAACAAAACCCTTGGAAAAGAACCGCGGTACAAAGAAACGCCAAGGGGGAATTAATACACTACCTAATAAAAGATAGTCTTCTCTTCTTTTTCTTTCGACTTTCATCCCTCAAGAAACCTGTCGATATGATATCCATCGTCGGGAAAAATCGAGAATTTTAAATTTTTTATGTTTTGTCATTTTTTTCTATCTAACTACTACAACAAACAAAGGTAAAACTAAAACTAACATACATACATACATACATCCAAATATATCCCCCACCCCACAATTTAAGTAGTGGCATGTCCCCATGACATACAATTAAAAAGCATAAGGTAAAGGAAACTTCTCTGAAAATTTAGTCGGGGTCTGAGTCAAAGTTGGGCTCCATTCATCGTGCCCGAACTAATGCACACATCCATGCAAACAGATTCTTCTCAGCCTTCTTGGGGTACACCCTACACTTATCTTTCTCACTCACTGTGGCCTTATCTTTCAAGCCCTTTACTTTCCACTCAACACTTGCAACTGACTTCTCTTTTTTCACCCCCGTTTCTACATCCATCTTGAAAGTCAGAGTCTCCTCACCCACTCTAAGAATGAGTTTTCTCTCATGTATATCTAATATCGCTTTACCCATTGCTAAGAATGGTCTTCCTAGTATGAGGGGGACCTATTTGTTCTCCTCCATCTTCACCACTATAAAATCTACAGCAAATACGAACTTATCTACCCGAACTAAGACATCTTCCACTATCCCCTCAGGTATTAGAGTCGTTTGGTCTGCCAGCTGCAAAGATATTGGTGCAAAACTTATTTCTCCAATCTCATTCTCCAGTTTCTTGTAAATAGACAAAGGAATTAGATTAATTGAGGCACCGGAATCACATAAAGACTTATCAAAATTAATAGTGCCTAAAGAGCAAGGTATGGCAAAACTCCCTGGATCTCCATACATTTGTGGGAGCTTGTTTTGCAATATCGCACTGCAATACTCTATGAGCTTGACCACTAAGGTCTTTTCTATCTTCCTCTTCTTTGTCAGGATCTCCTCCAAGAATCTGGCATAAGCTGGCATTTGTGAGAGCACTTCGGTTAATGATAAGATTACATGAACCTGTTTCAACATATTGAGAAATCTCTTAAATTGCTTGTCCAACTTTTCTCTATATAGCTTTTGGGGGAAAGGTAAAGCAGGCATATGCTTGCTCTCTTCTGGTTCCTCCTTTCTCGAATTCTCTTCCTTGTTCTTTTTCTCAGCTCCCTTCTTTCTTCTTCTTATCAACTTCATTTTTCAGCTGCTCCGCGCTTTCTTTTTCAGGTATCACGTCTTTTTAGATTGGAGTGGGATCCTTCAACACTTTCCCGCTTCTCAAGGTCACATCATTCACTGTTTCATGGGGATTTCTCTCAGTATCAGCGGGAAGAGTACCTGGAACTCTCTCAGATAATAGTGTTGCAATCTGTCTCACCTGCTTCTCTATATCTTTGAATTTCTACCCCTTGTACTTCAAATCTTTCATCAGTTTTCATAATAAAGGCCTTCATGAGATCTTCTAGACCAGGGTGATTGGGTTGCTGAGGCTGAAACTGCTACCTCTGTTGATTCACAAAACTAGGAGCTCCTTGTCCTTGAAATCTGGGGTTGTTTTGTTGCCATACATTTGTGGTACCCCCAGGTGAATTCCACAAAAAACTGGGATGCTTCTGACCCATTGTATTAAAGTTATAAGTCCCCATAGCATTTACTTCTTCAATTGAGGCTTGACACTCATGAGCAGGGTGTCCTCTTCTACATATATCACAAGCTGCATGAAGCTCACTTTGTATTGTAGCCAAGGTTAGCTTCCATATTTCTTTAGCCATAACATCAAGCTATACATACACAGATGTATTAGCATCAACTTGGTGAACACCAGTTGATCTTCTTCTTTCAGCACTCTCAAAGGGCCACTGATTTGCATCTTCAGACTCATCAAGAACTGTAACTATCTCCTCTAGAGTCTTCTTCATCAACAGCCTCCAGTGGCATTGCTCCATGTTTTATGTGAGGCTAGTGTCAATCCATCCCAAAAGTCCCGGAGTTGCATCACGAGTTCAATTCCACTATGTTGACACTTTTTCACTATCTCCTTAAACCTCTCCCATGCTTCAAACACAATTTCAGTCTCTTTCTGGCAGAAGTTATGGATTTCTCTTCTAAACTTGCCCGTTTTAACTGATGAGAAATATTTATCAAAAATTTTACAGTCATCTCATCCCATATTCTAATCGATCCACTGGGAAAGCTTCGAAGCCACTGCTTTGCATCATCTTTGAGTGTGAAGGGGAATGCCCTTAAGTATACTGCATCTTGTGAGACACCATTGTATTGAAAGGTGTTCATAATCTCCTCAAAGTCTATCACATATGTGTTAGGATCATCGTTTATCTTCCCTCTGAAGACACAACAGTGTAGAAGGTTTGAAGCAACCCTTGCTTCAACTCAAAATTGTTAGCTGCAATTGGAGGTGGTCTAACACTTGATAATCCTTGGTTGTAGACCGGTCTAGCATAATCGCCAAGTGATCTCCCTGCCCCGGGAGCTATATTTCCAAACTGATCTGCAGCCAAGGGTTGATATTGAGCAATTCTCCGAGCCCTCTCCTCTTCATAGATAATTTGTGCATCTCTGATAGTTGCTTCTTCAGCATCCCTTGCAGCTTATTCCCGTTGTTGGGTTGCCTCTCTTGTAGCCAAATCTACATTATCATCATCTCCCGCCATAGCTTCTCTGATTGAGGATTGCTCAACCTTCTCTGAAGTCTCGGTGAGATTTCTTTCCTTCCTCAGCTGTCGCAGTTATTTTTCTACCTCTGGTTCGTATGGTAGCACTTATTTCCCAGAAGATCGAGTCATGCACCAATCTAAAATGTAACCTGCGCACATTCAAAGAACACCTAACGTAAAAAGAGAAAAATAAAATAAAAAGAAAAGGTCCTGAACTAGCACTACAAACTATTTCAAACACTATGGATTTCCAATCCCCGGCAACGGCGCCAAATTGACGTGCGCAAAATACCACTTAAAATTATGCTCTCTAATCAAATATAGTATAGTATAATATCGTATCCACATGGATTGGATTTAAACAGTATTCTTGTAGTTTATACCTTGATTGTTATCCAAGATGATCAACAGTTGAGATTTGTGTGATTAATACTAAAATTATTTAAGAGTCTAAACTATTGACTAATGACAATCGACGCAAGTAATGAGAAAAGAAGGTTATCAGTGGGAGAAGATAGGGTTTTGATAGGATAGGAAAAAGACAATTATTTGGGATTTAACTCTAGATAATTCATTTCTAATGTTCTAGTGAGTCTCTCCAATTCACTCAATTATTTATTCAAATGTTTAGTAGAAACTCCTCTCTCGATTAAGTCTCAACCTCACAAGATGAACCAATTTAATCTCTGCGAAAATATGCAAGAATATGTAGCGGATTAGTCTTTAGGAGAACCTCTCAATTATCCTCCTAACTAGGTTTAGTCAATAATTCAACTAGCCTCTTCCGATTACTATGAAGAATTCAACCAACAATATAATGCAAGAATATCGCAATTTATGCCTCTCTCGATTACATGAACAAGTGAATATAGATGCAATAATTAAATCATCCAAAAACGATTCAATACATAAAAGTAGAGTTAATATCCACAAATAAATATCAATACACCAAATCCATCAACTCCTAAAGAGAACTACTCCATAGATATGGAGTAATTCATCACAATTATAATTACAAGATAGGAAAATATAAATTCAATCCAAACTTGGGTCTTGATTGAGGAAGGAATAATGCAATCCTTAGGCTCGGTTCTCCAACCTCCTCCTTAGCCTCTTGAGGTTGAATATGTGTCAAAAGTGCAATGACAAATATTTTTCCATGTATTTATACGAAGTAGGGTCAGGCCCAGACGAAACCTCCTTTTCCTAGCCGAAATAAGATATTAGCTATGTAAAAACTGCACAGGCATGCCGCATGGGATGACGCGCCACGCGGGGCAGCAATTGAGATCTTCAGAGACTTGACAATTTTGCAACAGACAGGAAATGGACGGCCGAGGTGCCCCACACGCTGCTCCACCTGCCGCGGTTGTGGAAGTTTCTCAAAGCCTACCTTTTTGCTTGATTTTTGAAGTCCAAACGTGGTTCTCGACCCCCAAACGCGATCCTAGCTTAATTCTTTGGGTTTTACTCAGACTTCGAAGCTCCAAATAGCTCAAATTAACTCCATAATAACTACATTACTCAAAATCACTCCTACAAGGCATAAAGCACATAAAAAGTACAAAACACTAGAGATTAAAGCTCAAATAGAATTAAAGTGCAGTGAATTAGAGTGCAATAAATGACTAAAACATGTAATTATAGCCTACCATCAATCATTCATGGTAGGAGAGAGGGTTTTGCTGCGGGTTCTACCCATGAAGGGTGTGATGAGGTTCGGGAAGAAGGACAAGTTGAGACCCAGGTATATCGGTCCCTTTGAGATCCTTGAGAGGGTTGGTGAGGTGGCCTACAGACTTGCATTGCCACCCAGCTTATCGACAGTTCACCCGGTGTTCCATATTTTCATGCTTCGGAAGTATCACGGCGATCCTTCCCATGTATTAGATTTTAGCCCAGTCCAATAGGACAAGGATTTGACTTAAAAGGAGGAGTCGGTGGCTATTCTAGCACGGCATGTTAGGAAGTTGAGGTCTAAGAGTTATCCTTTTGTTAGAGTGCAGTGGAGAGGTTAGCTGATCGAGGCAGCTACGTGGGAGTCCGAGTCTGATATGCGGAGTAGATATCCATACCTTTTCACCAGTCCAGGTACTTATCTATATCTATTTAAACGATGAACATTTCTTTTAATGGTGGAGAATGTGAGGACATAATAGGTCATTTTCAGTACTAGCCCTTATTTCCATGTTCCAACACCTCTATTAGCTCTATTTATGTTTCTCGATTTGCATGGGAAGTCCGTGTCTTTTTCCGTAAAGCATTTATGTAAAACTTTGAAGAAAATATAATTTTTTTCGTTTATAATAACTTGAGTTGACCACGGTTAATATTTTGTGTAAACGACCTTGAATCGGTATTTTGACAATCTCGGTAGGTCTGTATCGTGATTATGGACTTGGGTGTATGCTCGGAGTCGAATTCAAAAGTCCCTAACTTGATTTGACTTGTTTTGCCAAAAGCTAGTAACTTGAAGGTTTGAAAAACTCATAGGTTTGCGGTAGGTTGACTTCATGGCACCGGGTTTGGATTTTTTGTTCCAGGACTTGGTATAGGTTCATTTTTCTATTTGAAACTTGTCTGCAAAATTCGGTGCAAATTGGAGTTTCTATGATACGATTTGGACGCTTGGTTGTGATTTTAGAAGCACTTGAGTTTTCTTTGAAATTGCATGCATTTTCATATCTAATTTGTAGTTCTAGGTGTTATTTTTGTGTTTTGATCACGCGGGCGAGTTCCTATGATGTCATTACACTTGTGTGCATATTTAGTTTAGAGTAGGAGGGGCTCGAGCGAGTTTCGGATACGTAACATATTTCAATTGTTGCTGATGTCTGCAGTATTGTGCTTCGTGAGCGGAAAGCTACTCTCGCGATCGCGAAGGGGAACTTAGGGCTAGGGTTGATTTCTTCTTCACGAATGCGGCGAACGGGTCGCAAACACAAAGTAGTGGAGGACTTACCCTTCACGAATGCGACCTTCCTCACGCGAACGCGAAGAGTTATGAGATTCTGGGGGAGGCAACTAGTTACTCTACGTGAATGCGAGCGTTGGCTCACGAAGATGAATGGTAGCTTGCAGAAGCGTCAGGTGCTTCGCGAACGCAAAGAACACCTGGCGCCCTGTGATTTAAACTTCCAAAAGTCGGGATTTTCTTCACTTTTAACCATTTTCAGGTTTGAGCTCGGCCTAGAGGCGATATTGAAGAGGTTTTTCATCCCAACTTCATATATTAGTAGATTTTGACTTGTTTCATTATATTTCCATAAACACCCATTGGTTTTAACCTTTAATCTAAGCTTTTTGATGGTAGAAATTAGGGATTTAGGTAGAAATTGAGGATTTTGAGAATTGAAATTTAAACCTCAAATTGAGGTTGGATTTTGAAACTAACTTAGCCGGGCTCGGGGTAAATACATAATTGGATTTTGGTCCGAATCTCGGATTTGACCAAGCGGGCCCAAGGGTTGACTTTTTGTAAAATCATTAAAGATAGAATATCTTTCACTCATGGATAGTTTC